CTTAGGTGGCTCCGTCGACCCCGAGTCACCGTAAACCCTAATGGTTAGGCTTAGGTGGCTCCGTCGACCCCGAGTCACCGTAAACCCTAATGGTTAGGCTTAGGTGGCTCCGTGGATGAACCCTAGTTTCGTTCCCCACTCTGAGATCTGGTGCTGTCAATTTAATAGTAGAAGAGGTATCTGTCCCACATGTCAGAATCCCCAAATGTGGTACTGCATGTTATGTGATGCCCCAATATTGGTACTGACATGCAACAGATAGCAGCAGTATTGGTACTAATTTGTCACAAGTAACTGCAATTGTGGTACTGCTTTGCAAATACTGGTAGTTCAGAAAACCACCTAAAGTTCAACATTCAGAAAACCACCTAAAGGTGAACATTCAGATAACCACGTAAAGTTCAACATTCAGATAATCACCTAAAGTTCAACCACATATCCAGTAGCAAGTTATACATATCCAGTACTCCACCTCAAGTTCAACATTACAAGCATCAAGTTCAACATTACTAGAGTACTCCACCAGTACTCCACCTCAAGCATCAAGTTCAACCAAAATAACACCACAGTATTTCACATTACATGGCTCGTCCTCCTCCCATGCTAGCATTGAAGTAGGACATCCATCCAGTGTGTGTGCCATCAGTAGGAATGTCAGCATATTGCCTGGGAGCACCTCTTCCAGCTCTTCCTCTGCCTCTGCCAGCTCCTCTTCCAGATGGTGGTGGTGTAGTAGAAGTAGCACCAGCTCCTCTGCCAGCTCCCCTTCCTCTTCCAGATGGTGGTGTTGTAGTAGAAATAGCACCAGCTTCTCTGCCAGCTCCTCTTCTTCCAGATGATGGTGGTGTAGGAGCAGAAGCAGCAGGTCTTGGTTGTCTTGCTGTTGGTGGAGTAGAAGGACCAGCAGCTCTTGGCTGTGAGGTACTTGGAGTAGCCTTGCAAAGAAAAGGAAACAATTAATAATGCTAGAAAGAAATGTACAAGAAAGAAAACATTAGTATATTTCAAGGTGAAAAATTATTACCACATGCTTATTCTTCCTCAAAGCTAGCTCAGGCTTCAACTGTTTAAGACAGTTTGTGTACCTATGCCCTTGGAGACCACAATTGCCACATGTTATGGTCCCCATTCTTAAAGTTTCTTTTGGCTTTGGTACTTCAAATTTGCCCTTGGTCCTCTTTTCTTTCCTTCTTCCTCTCTTGATTTTGAATGCAGGTGGTTCTATGTCTGGACCAGGGGTCCTTGTCCAATCATGCTCACCAGGCACAGGAAAGATCATTGGTTCATAAGCTGCAGCATAAAAATCTTTCTTGAAGAATTTGCTGACATAATCCTCTGGTTTCCTTTTAGCCTTGTTTATTGCAGAGATGGCATGGTTGCAAGGTATGCCACTAAGGTCCCACTTCCTGCATCCACATGTCTGAAGTTCCAGGTTGACAACATGTGTTTGCTGCCCACTTGTAACTTGCCATAAGTTGACCCCTACCTGTATTGGCTTGCAGTATCTGGCCCTCTCCTTCTCAGCCTCTAGCTTCTCACTGTAATGAGGTGTTATCTCCCATCTTGCTTCGTTAACACTCTCTCTCTCTTAATGTGCCACCTCACCATCTGCTTATCTTTTATCCCATCACACATTGTCCTTATAGGTTTTCTCCTAACATCTAGAATGTACTTGTTGAACACCTCAGACAAGTTGTTCACTACCAAGTCAGTCTTGCAGTTTGTGTCAAATGCATGCCTTGCCCATGTCTTTTTTGGTATTGCAGTAAGCCACTCCCAAGCTTCCTCACTTTCAGCTCTAAGATCATTCATTGCAATATTAAATTTGTGTTCATTGTAGGCATAGCTAGCATTATCCATGCACTTCTTAAGATCTTCACCCCTAAACCCAGCATTTTGGAAATTTGCATATATATATATGTCTAAGGTAGAACCTTTGGTTGCAATTTGGAAACACAACATTCACTGCATACAGTAACCCCTGACACAAACAATATAACAAGTCTAAGCTACATCCTAAAGAAATATGCACCAATGAATTAAATATGCATTCTAATCTACTATAAACACTTGTGCAAAACATAATGAAACTCTAAGCTAATGTAAACACTTCTGCAAAACACATACCTTTTGTCTATCTGAGATTATAGTATAAGGTCCAAACTTGCCCACTTCTCCCCCTAGGCAAATTTTCAGTTGGTGTAGAAACCAACACCAACTAGCTTTGTCCTCTTGTCCAACTATGCCAAATGCCAGTGGATATATGTTGTTGTTGCCATCTCTACCAGTGGCAGCAAGGAGTTGAGGACTTGTAGTGAGTTTAATGAAGCACCCATCAACACCTGCATAATCAACATTTCCAAACATTAAATACATTCAAGTGAGAAACAAAATGTAGTACTCTACAATATGTAAATGGTGCACAAGGTTTAGGAACTAACCAATGAATGGCCTACACCCATCGAGAAACCCCTCCCTTGCTCCATTCATGCAAAAGAACATGGCATGGAATCTTGGGCCTGGGTGGGGTATTCTTGCAGTTGGTGTTGGAGTAACAGTAGTGACTATTACTCTGCTCCCAGGGTTTGTGTCCATGACAGTCTGAGCATAGTCTTTAAGCCTAGGATATTGCTTCTTGTGATCTCCTAACACAGCTTCAATAGCTATGTTCTTTGCCCTATATGCCATGCACTTGGGCACATCTACACCATATTTTTCATTGCATGCATCAATTATAGTCTGAATACCAGTAGTTATATTAGATCTAAAGAGATGCTCATATTTCTGTGCTAGCCACTTAGCACTAACCCTGGTGGTCTCTGTGGTACTAGGGCAAGTGTGTTCTAGTCTCATCTTCTTAATTACAAAGGTTTTCTCCCCTTTTATAACTGCTGCCACCATTAAGAAGTGACATTGTTTATCTGTACACTCAACAATTATCCTCTGATCTGAATTCCTGTGATACCTGAAATTCCTGGCCTGGGTGATGTGCAAATTCAACAAAGCATCTCTGAATTGATGCTGATCCCTAAAACACAACTTCATACACAGTTGCTCATGTGGTTGCTCCAATTTCTCATTATACCACTTCCTAGCAGGCCTTTTCTTTGCCCTACTCTTCCTTTTATTTGGTAGGACAAAAGAGAGTGGCTCAAAACCATCATCATCACTCTCCCTCAACAACCCCTTCTCTTCTTCATCTGATGATGGTCTGAAATCAGGTTCAACCTCTGGCAGCTCACTACAATGTGACCTAGTGGTTGGGCCTCTTCTAACTAGCAGCTTCTGCTTCTTCTTTACAGGTTCAACTATAGTTTCTTCTTCTTGTTCAAAAGTCCTATCTTGTTCTACCTCAAATGGGTCCTCAACTTCAGTGTCACCCTCATAATGAAGCATTTCTTCCTCTTCTGATTGATCATCATCTGATTCTTCCTCTTGTGCTTCTAGCTCTCTCTCTGTCTCTTTCCCTCTTCCACCTCTACATCTTCATCACCAACCATGTAATTAGGGTCACTTCCAATTTGACCATCCTCATCAGAGGCATCACTGTCCTCATAAGCCTCAAATCCTTGATATCCCTCTTCTTCTTCTTCCAAAACTGCTTTCAACTTGTCTGTTGCATTTTTGCTTTCTTGTGTGCAAACACCAACAGGACCAGCAGGGTGATGTGTGCTACATTGACTGTCAAAGACTACTCCTTCCTTATCAACAGCTAAGATAGGAGGCTCACTCAAATCATAAACAAGAGGCTCTTGGTACACCACAGTGGACAAGTCTGGCTTTTCAAAATGCTGCCTCTCAAAATCAGTATCAGGGTGTGGACAAGCCCTGACTAGCAAATTAAGCACCAATTTGTCCTGGATCTTCCTCTTTATCATCTATAATTCTGCATGACTGTCTACCAAATCCAACCCTTTCTCTCCTAAAGATGGATTTTCAATGTGAAACAAACAATCATATGCATTAAATCCTTGGGTTTCCATCACTGCAACCAAATTCAGATAAGTAATATCTGAACCACACAGCTTCATCTCCAATGGCTCTCTTGCATCAAAATGGATCCTTACTTCCCAAATGTCTTCATCCAAACTACAGAACAAATTAAATTTCATGTATTCATTATAATTACTCTTAATTTGCAGAGCAACAGTACAGTACAGTGCAATTTAAAGTAACCTGTAAGTCTATTATTTACTAATTGAGCACAATAGCAAAATTTGGAGAGCAACAGTACAGTACAAAACAATTTAAAGTAATAGTACCAGACAGTACAGAACAATTTGGAGAGCCACAATAATCCCAAATTTTTACTGTCATTGAACTAATTTGAGAGTGCAATACACTATGTTACTAGGTTAGTTTAATTGTCCTATACTAGTCACTTCAATTGGATAAAACCTAATCCCCAACTGGATAAAGCAGAAGATGAACAAACCCTAAAAATGCCCAATTGGATAAATCAGAGGAGGAAGAGGACAAGGGTACTTACAGCACGCCGCCAAGTCCATGCGTCAACTCATGGCTGCTGCTAGGGTTCGCCACCCACTGATGCGCCAACTGCAACCGCTGCTCCATGGTGAGTAACATCGACTCCTCGTCGTCGGTCGAGTACGCGGAGCTGGAGTCGTCGCCGCCATCCCAGTCGACGCCAGCCGTTCCGCTAGGAGGCCAGAACGGCATCTCACCGCCGCCGTGGACGCCCTCGCTGCCGCCTAGCGGAATCACCGACGCCATGGACTAGGGTTCGAGCGAGGAGGAGGAGGGGAGGGGAATGGTGCGGCCGAGCTGGAGCTGGTGCGACCGGACCAGGTTGGAGAGCAGCAGCGCACCGGCTCGTCCTAGTCAGCACGCGGGCACGTGCGGGCACGCGCCGATTGGCCAGCATGGCACCTGACGGGTGGGACCGAGCTGTCGGATCGGGCGTCAATACGTATAAATACGCGTTTTAGCCTCATTTGCAAAAACTTACACCAATGTTGATACTGACACGCAAAAATTAGCAATCATGGTACCAATCTGCATGTGATGCCCGAATTGTGGTACTTCTGTGCAATTAACTCTGCTTAGTGCAACTCTAACCGATCCCTTAAGAGTCTAGAGGAGTAAAATTTTGGTTTTACTTCTCTAACCGGCATCTAATTAATCTTCTAAACCGGTTAGAAGAGTAGAAGTTTTACCCCTCTGTCTATCTTTTTTATTTAGAAAAGGAGGATGACCCCCGGCCTCTGCATCTGGGCGATGTATACGGCCACTTTATTAATTATTTTCACAAGACCTTACAAAGTAATACAACAGTAAGACTAAAGCCGCCTTCTCAGCACCTCTATCCAGCTGATGAAGGGGCACAGATAGCCTGGACCTAATACCAAACAGACATCGCAGCCAAACCCATCTAAGACCTGAGAACCCATCCAGGACGCCTGCCGGGCATGGGTCTCATCGGTCCGGCGTGCACTCAGATGCCGCCGCCGCCAACTGCCACCGTTCCATCTTCAGAACTGTACTGCTGCATCAACCTTGCTCGGTCTAGCTATCGTCGACGCCACCACGGCGCCAAATAACACCTCCTCTCTGCGCGCAAACAGCTAAGCACGTCGCGGTCGCCACTGATACACCTCAGCGCCATGCTGCCAGGTATCACCAGCCGACACAACTTGAAGTCCTTGGAAGATCTGTCGTGCGTAGCACCTGCCGACCAGGCATGACAAAGCGTAACACCTGTCAGTCAGGCATGACTTGACATCACCACCGAAGCTCCATGCAAGATGAAGCCGCTCCACCTCCTGCCTCTGACATCCAGCGCTGCTCCGCAAACGATGCTCCCAAGAGAGAAATGACACCGCAGTGCCGCCATCGTTCGATCTGGAACACCAGATCCTAGGGTTTTCCCCGGAGCAGCACGAGTGGGTCGACAATAGTTACACGACGATGCCTTCATCAAGGTAATGGCGAGAATGCCGCCATCGCCTGCCGTCGGCTCGGTTTTCACCGGCAACCATGTCTCCCCTACTCGCATCCGGGACAAGATGATGGATCTCGAGATCCGATCACCAAGCCTCTGGCCGGCCATCTCGGGAAGAAGATGGCCACCACGTCCACCAGTGTCACCACGCCGGGCACGCGTCGCCGCCGGCACCCCCATGGTGCCTAGAGGGCGACAAGCCCCGACGAATCCCATGCCTCGCCAGCCGCCATGGCCCAGACCCCGGCACCACTAGATCCAGATCGGATCGGGGTCTAGGGCCCCAAGCCGCAACCGCCGTGGAGGCAGCACCACTGGACGGTGCCTAGCCCTCTAGCCCGCCGCCGAGTCATCGCCGGAGCTCCGCCGCGCCACGCCGCCAAGCTGCCGCCGGGATAACTCGCGCCTCCGCCAGAGAAGCCGCAGCCGCCGCGCGTTGGAGAGGCCTCAAGCCGCAACTGCACCACCGCCAGGCAGGGGCGCCGCCACCCAACTCGCCCTCCGCCGCGCCGTTGGGCCCCGCCAGCCCAGCGCCGTCTCGCGCCGCGCCGTCCCGCGCCGGACGCCAACCGCGAGGAGAGGGGCAAGATCCCCGCCGCCACCAACGCTGGCTGGTCTTTGCCCGGCGGCGTTGTGCGGTGGCGGCGGGGGGAGAGATCGACGAGGGAGGACGAGGGGCGGCGGCTAGGGTTTCCCCCGAGGACGCTCACGGGAGCGGCTCGGGGGTCGGGTGTCTATCTGACTCCTAAATTTACTCGTCCTAGAAATGGCCAAGTAAAAGTTCTCTTCAGGCAAATGCCTCCTTGTAGCCGGCCGGCGACTCACGTGAAGCTCCCTTGTCGACGGCGGCGACAACATCTTCGACTCCGACATGGACTCCTGGGTGACGTGTGCGTACCAAGGTGGTGGCGGAGGAGGCGATCCAGGTGGGAAGGGCGCGTGCTCGATGTGCTGCGCGATATGCCCGTGGCCCCAACGTACTTGCAGGCCCGTGCAAGCTCCAGCGCCATCCGGAGCAGCGCGCACCCGCTTCGGGGAGCGGCGAGGCCAGGCCACCCCAATGGAGAAAGTCGTCGAGCGCATTCTCGGCCTCGAGGGCGACATCACGGGTTTGGCTTGATCGAATTTGGTAAGGCGGGGGCGGCCGTGTCGTTGCGGTGTCCATGTAGGAGTTGGAGTAGGAGGAGTGAAAGAGGCCACAACGGCGACGACATGGTCACCATCGTCGCTCGCACATAGCAAGTGTTTGATGGAATGCATAAGCTAATTGTAAGTATTGCTCCACTAAACAATATAGAAGATCAGTTAGATCCGGTCAAAAAATAGTTGAATAAAAATACTTCAGTAAGCTTTACTCGGCTGATACCATGATTTTTTAGGGACCGCCTAGAGCTGCTCTTACTCCACAAGGCACCCATTCTTTCCTTTCAATACTCTTATTTTTTTTCCTAAAAAGAAGTACTGTCCACCCATTTTCTCCACGGGTTCGTTTTCTAAAAAATAAATAAATCTACATGTACTCCATCCCCTGAAAAAGGAAAATGCTAGTAGGTGAGTGCTCATGGCAGTAGGAGAAAGTGGAATGCTTAGCGAGAGAATGGCACTGCCGTGAACCCAAGTTTTCACCTCATTTACTGCCGTGCTTGTTCCAAAGGAGACGGACGGATGGACGACGGATCATGGATGGGGGTGGTTCCTTGAGAGGTGCACCCACCCTGGAGGTGTCAACCATAGGCCATATAGCCAAGGCACCATCTCCAACCGATCTGCTCCACTGTTTCACCGCTGGGTAAAATCTGGACCGTTCTCTTGTTCGATCGGGCGGTGTCCGTTGTCTGAGCTAAACGAGCTCTCCAATACATAGAGCAGAGGACCTCAGCTGCTGCTGTTTAGTAGTGCCAGCACACATTCCACTACAGATTACAGTGCCAGCCACCCGGAGAGGGGGGGGGAGAAGCAGCCATGCGGTGGTGCTACGTGGGGAAGGCGACCAAGATCTTCTTCGCCGTCGTGGCCGGGCTCGCCGTCGTCGGTCTCATCGTTGCCGTCGGCGCCGTCATCCACCGCGCCAAGTCCCATCGCAACTCCGGCGCCGCCTGCACCACCGCCGCCGGCGGGTGTCAGCCAGTCCCGCCCGGGACCGTCAGCCAACAGCCATCCATGCCTTCCACCGCGGTCACCGCCCCGCCGCCGCCGCCGAATCCCACCTTTCCTGCCCCGGAAACCCCCTTCCCGCCGCCTCAACCCCCTCTGCAGCCGCCGCCAGCACCAATTGCGTCGCCCTCGCCGGCCACATTTGCGTCCCCGCCGCCTCCGGACGTGCTGGTGCCGCCACCACCAGCAATCGCGCCACTGGCGCCGGAATTCGCGTCACAGCCGCCTCCGGCTGCGCTGGTGCCGCCGCCACCGGCGCCGGAATCTGCGTCACAGCCGCCTCCGGCTGCGTTGGTGCCGCCGCCGGCATCCGCGTCACAGCCGCCGCCGGTCGCGCTGGTGCCGCCACCGCCGGCCCCGGATGCGCCGAGCCCGACGGCGTCCTGACGCATGTCGCCGGTTATTGACTATTGATGACTCGATCTCAGAGCAGGTTCAGGTTGTAGCGCACATTCAGGTTCAGGACATGGAACTAGTCTGCTGTCTTTTCTTTTCAATTGCCGGATTAAATCCTTCATCACCCCCCTATCGCACATCGAGATTTCACCGATTCAAGTCGCATCTTGTTATATTTGTAATTCTGATTCTTGTTTACTCTATGCTGACAGTCTCGTGCTCCTCCGTACAAATCATTTAAGACAAAATCTTAGAATAGCGTTTCTTGATGGAATCAGGGCTCTTGTATTTGGGTGCCAATTGAATTGGCCGCCTTGGAGTTGGTCACCGAGACAAGGACTGGTCTATGATGACTCACGTTGACCATTTCTCATGTTGGGCATCACTGTTAGAAGTCATTGCATTACAAGAGGACGGTCGGTCAGATATTGCTATGAGAGAAAATTAGTGCATTCAACAAACATCTGATCCTTCTCCACTCTACTCTCTTGCTGTCCAACAGAAAAAAATATATTACCTCCGTCTCAAATTACTTGTCTTGACAAGACAAGTAATTAAAAGACTAAGGTATTGCCCATTTGCACTGCAGTTGTTTTGCAATTTGCACATAACATCATTGGACCCTGCCAGGTTCTTTTTATCCAGAGGCCTGCATCTGACTCCCTTCACCTTGCACTACGAATAAATAAGCAGCCAGCGCACACATGTTAGGATGGAATCATTTGTCCATAGAGATACACTACGTTGCACCTATACGGTGATACGGGATACAACAATTTCTAGAAACAGCAATATGCGATACGGCGAGTATATATACATAATTAATAAAATGGCATGTAATAAAGATAGAACATACTAATATAATGCGTGAGATGAGAACAAAATGATGCCCATTGGTTGCCTCATGCATCTTTTCATGTCGTGAATGGTCATCGATGTCCTCGATCCTCGTCCATTAGCTTGCTGTCATGCCATCTCCCGCAGATTACATGGTGATTTGAGTATTTCCCTCTGTACCAGTAGACAGTAGCAGGAACATCAGCAAGCACCAAGCACATACGGCAAGCGCGCGCGCACACACACATGCCAGCAAGCAGCCAAGCACATACGTCAAACACAAACACAACAAGAATCAATTACCTCATTCTTGCCATAGCGGCGGAGAAGAGGTCACTTGGCGAGTTGACAGTGCGGCGGCGACGAGTCAGTCCTGGCGACGGCATCGGCGGCGTGCTCGTCGCCCTGGATCCAATCGTGAAGTCGAACAGAGAGCGAGAGAGCACTTAGGTTAGACTTATACGTGGGCCTTTAATGAGCTCGAGGCTGCGCGGCCGTGTCCTGCCCGTATCCCGAGCGTGTCCCCAGCGTATCGTCATTTTTTTCCTTTTCTTTTTGATCGGAAATCCTGATACGCCTGGGATATGAGTATCGCGGCTGTATCGTGCGTATCGCCGTATCAGCGACGTGCGGTACGCGGACACGCCAACTTTCAAGGAATCGGTGCTTTATAGGAGATACATTGTCTCTTTTCTAATGGTTTGTTTGTTTGTTTGTTCAGGTGGTTCTTCTGCATAGCTGCACTCACACGCTCTCATGTTTGACATGTACAACACGGGTTCCCGACGAGCAAACACCACCATCCCCTTTCTCCATATCCAGAACAAATTCATTCACGGGCTTGCGCCTCAGAAATGAAAAAAAGAAAAGAAAAAGAAAACCTTGCTTTTTTTTCATCCCTCGCCATCGCCGCATCAATTGCCATGGACGGGGTCGCCACTCCAACAACACTACTCGTAGCACACCGGCTGGCAACTGTTGCGGCTCCCCACCCCATGGTTGCAGCAGCAGCTGCGCCACCCCGCTGCCCTTGCCAACGACGCTCGCTGCCGGCTGCATGCACTCGTTGGCGCCGTCGTCTCCTAGTCGCCACTTTCACTCGTCGCTGTCGTAACAAAACAACTCGCCGGTGGAAGCTTTGCGGGTTGCTGGTTGCAACAAAATCAGGACTCCGCCCATCATTGCCGCAAAATCACCAAAATCGATTGCACCAAAAAAACTTGCAGGTTCCGGCTCGAGTTCTGGCCAGTTGTAGCAAAACCAGCTGCTGGTTCCAGCTCCGGCCTCAGTCGGTTGCAACAAACAAAAGTGATGGTTCCAGCTTCAGCTCTGGGCGTTCCAGCAAAATCATCACAGCGCGTCGCACGACCAGCCATGGTAGCTTTGGTGGCCTCGGTTTCAGTACTAGGCGGCGTGGTTGTAGCACGGGGGAAGGAGGAGGGTGGGAGACTGGGACGCGCGGCCCCGTGCACACTGCAGATGGCCAGCGTAGATGAAGAAAAGATATGATAGAACAATCGGGGCAGTTTGTGTGGGTGCTAACAGAAACATGTGCGCGAGCGAGCCGACCGGCCGAAATTCTAGCCCGTTTGCCAGAGGGAAATGGTTCCCTATCTCCTAGCTATATCTTTTTTAATAATGATGATGTGCTAGCTGTATGAAATGTTGGAAATATGAGCAATTTACTGAATAATTTTATTAACAAAAATACTCCCTCCGGTCCTTTTTAGTTCGCATATTAGATTTGTCTGAAGTCAAGGCTCGTAAAGTTGGACTAACTTTATAGAAAAAAATACCAACATTCACAATGTGAAATCAATATTAGTAGATGCGTCATGACTTAAAATTTCATGTTGTATAACTTCATCATGGTAGATGTTGATATTTTTTCATATAAATATGGTCAAACTTTGTAAAGTTTGACTTCAAACAATTCTTATATGCAGAGTAAAAGAACCGGAGGGAATACTAGATAACGCATGACTAATATAACAGAGATAAAGTAAGTCATGCAAACTGATAGGGAGAAGGTAAATATCATCAGCATATATAAACTAAAACGGAACACATCTAGAATAGACACTAGAGCAAGAAGTTGTGGTAGAACCTCTAACATAAAGAGTATGAGAACGTACGGAACGGGAGCAGGAGCACCGGTCTTGGGGTCGGTGTCCTCGCCATCCATGTCCTCGACGAGGTTGTCGTCGTCGGAGTTCGGGGCGTCCATGACGAAGAAGTCAGTAGTCGCGCTGAGCGCTCGCCAAAAACCTTATCACCCTTCTCCCGTGCAGGACTCAAAGAGGTGGAGTTTCAGAGGCCTACTGTCCCGACCTGCGGTGCACGCCGCAAGCCGGGATGGGGAAGATCGTAGCAGCAATGCTCAGAAACTTTGTGGCGAGAGGAAGAGGATCTTCTGGTGTGCATATCTGGAGAGGAGCGACCTCCCTTTTATAGGCACAGGAGAGAGAGGCGAGAGGGCGGCGACGGAAGGTGAAACGAAGAGACGGGGATGAAGCGAACAACCAGCAACCGAAGGGCTGCACCATTCGCATTCAAACTCCACCTTGCAAAAATATTTTCAGCCTGCGTGTGACTTTTCGTATACCCGTCGTGCGTGGCAAAAATTTAGACATCGGCTCGGCTCGGCTCGTGGTGGCGAGGCGAGGCGGGCGGCGGAGGAGGAGCACGCGTGGATGTCCCTCTTATTCTCATACTCATAAAAGTAGGGAAAGAACCTCCCTTGTAAGGAGGTCCAACTCCCACTAAACTAGCAATGTGGGACTAAATTTTAGTAGTATCCCTTGCCTTGCACGAAATGGCTAAGTGGGCCTATAGGATTTATTAGGAATTTCTGAAATAGTTATTGGGTTGTCCCAAAATAGACTAAATTCCAGCAATCCCTCACCAGATCCCAGAGGCACACAAGAATTGCCTTTGATTCCAAAACACTGTTTTATATTTCGGTATTGCAGTGGAGAATGTTAAGTTGAAATTCCGCCTAGAACTTTATGCTACACTAGTAAGCAACTTGAACAATAGACTGGACCTTGAACTACAAGTTTTCTACGAATCTAGCTTCACACAAAGCCTTGACCGATACTGGGCTACCATGGGTCTTCCCCGCAGGTGGAGCTTATGCATCATACTCCAGGGCCTTTCATGAGTTTACTAGAGAGAACCCTACTCTCATAGATTGCGACGTTTAACAATCAGACTCATATAGGTGTGTTCTCCAAAAGATGTTCTGCAGGACAACATCTCTGCTTAAAAGAGCCACTTAGAATACATTAAGATATACATCACCTGCCATGCAGATTAGGAGAGTATTGCATCTTCATGGAGTGGTATTGTTAATAGTAAGGATACTCTCCTCTCAGTTGACCAACAACTTGTCTTCCACATCTAATTCACGGGATCTCCGATCACAAAGAATAGGTTACCACTGTGAACAACTCATATTGTGGGTCTCATACCCATCTCACACGATGCATTATCTATCACATTACATGATAGACCCTTAGTAAAAGGATCTGCCAGATTTTTAGATGTTCGGATATAATCAAATGCAATAACTCCGAAGTTTCTCATTTTCCTGACAGACTTTAACCTTCTCTAAACGTGTCTTGATGACTTCATGTTATCCTTTGAGATGCTCACTTTCGTGATCACAGTTTGATTATCGCAGTTCATAAGGATACCCGGTACAGGTTTCTCATCAATCGGCAAATCATTCAAGAGATGGCGAAGCCAATCTGCTTCGACCATAGCTGTATCTAGTGTTGTGAGTTCTGCTTCCATTGTTGGCCTCGTTAAGATGGTCTGCTTGCAAGACTTCCAAGAAACAGCGCCACCTCCATGAGTGAATACATATCCGCTCGTGGCCTTTATCTCATCAGCATCTGAGATCAGGTTTGAGTCACTATACCCTTCAAGCACCTTTGGGTGCCCAGTGTAGTGAATTCCATAATTCGCAGTGCCTTTCAAATAACGCAAAACTCTCTCTAAAGCTTTCCAATGCACATCTCCTGGTTTTGAGACAAACCGGCTCAGTTTGCTGACAACAAAAGAGATGTCAGGTCTTGTAGCACTACTTAAATACATAAGCGAGCCAATAATCTGAGAATATTTCAATTGGTCTCTAGCAATTCTTCGATTCTTTTGAAGCAACACACTAGCATCATATGGTGTTGGAGAGGGTTTGCAGTCACTATAGCCAAAGCGACTCAAGATCTTTTCCACATAGTGAGATTGAAGCAATGTAATCCCACCATCATCGTCTCTCAACAACTTGATGTTCAGAATGACATCAGCCACTCCTAAATCCTTCATCTCAAAGCAACGAGATAGGAAATCCTTGACCTCCTTAATAACCTTCAGATTTGTTCCGAAAATCAATATGTCATCAACATACAAGCAAAGGATAACTCCCTCGCCCCCACGATGGCGATAATAGACACATTTATCAGCTTCGTTTACAACAAAGCATGCAGCTGTTAAAGTTCTTTCAAACTTCTCATGCCACTGCTTGGGTGCTTGCTTAAGTCCATACAAAGACTTCGACAACTTGCACAATTTTCCTTCCTGACCATCTACTACAAACCCATCTGGTTGTTCCATATAAATTTCCTCTTCCAACTCTCCATTTAGGAAAGCAGTCTTAACATCCATTTGATGAACGCGAAGACCATGTGAGGCAGCTAGTGAAAGTAGTACTCGAATAGTGGCCAGTCGCGCCACAGGTGAGTAAGTATCAAAGAAGTCTTCACCTTCCTTTTGGGTATAACCCTTAGCCATGAGTCGTGCCTTGTACTTTTCGATAGTACCATCAGGCCTAAGCTTTTTCTTTAATACCCATTTGCACCCTTTAGGTTTGCACCCATAAGGACGATCAGTTATCTCCCAAGTTTCATTTGCCAAGATGGAATCCATCTCACTACGGACCGCTTCCTTCCAGTAGTCAGCATCTTCAGATGCATAGCCCTCTGAAATAGAATTGGAAGTGTCATCTATGATATACACAAGAAAATCATCACCAAAGGACTTTGCAGTCCTCTGTCTCTTGCTCCTAGTAGGAACTTCATTGTTCTCCTCCACAAGATTTTCAAAGTGTTCCATCGAAATGGCAAGTTTAGTAATTGTAACCGGTTCCTGATTCGATGAACTAGGCATCTCCTGATTAGATGAGGTAGCTATTGAAGGAAATATGCCCTAGAGGCAATAATAAAGTTATTATTTATTTCCTTATTTCATGATAAATGTTTATTATTCATGCTAGAATTGTATTAACCGGAAACATAATACATGTGTGAATACATAGACAAACAGAGTGTCACTAGTATTGCCTCTACTTGACTAGCTCATTGATCAAAGATGGTTAAGTTTCCTAACCATAGACACGAGTTGTCATTTGATTAACGGGATCACATCATTAGGAGAATGATGTGATTGACTTGACCCATTCCGTTAGCTTAGCACTTGATCGTTTAGTTTGTTGCTATTGCTTTCTTCATGACTTATACATGTTCCTATGACTATGAGATTATGCAACTCCCGTTTACCAGAGGAACACTTTGTGTGCCACCAAACGTCACAACATAACTGGGTGATTATAAAGGTGCTCTACAGGTGTCTCTGAAGGTACTTGTTGGGTTGGCGTATTTCAAGATTAGGATTTGTCACTCTGATTTTCGGAGAGGTATCTCTGGGCCCAATCGGTAATGCACATCACTATAAGCCTTGCAAGCATTACAACTAATGAGTTAGTTGCGGGATGATGTATTATAGAACGAGTAAAGAGACTTGCCGGTAACGAGATTGAAATAGGTATTGAGATACCGCCGATCGAAACTCGGGCAAGTAACATACCGATGACAAAGGGAACAACGTATGTTGTTATGCGGTCTCACCGATAAAGATCTTTGTAAATATGTAGGAGCCAATATGGGCATCCATGTCCCGCTATTGGTTATTGACCAGAGAGGTGATACGTCTCCGTCATATCTACTTTTCCAAACACTTTTGCCCTTGTTTTGGACTCTAACTTGTATGATTTGAATGGAACTAACCCGGACTGACGCTGTTTTCAGCAGAATTGCCATGGTGTTGTTTTATGTGCAGAAAACAAATATTCTCGGAATGACCTGAAACTCCACGGAACATCTTAGAAAAAATTGAAGGAAATATGCCCTAGAGGCAATAATAAAGTTATTATTTATTTCCTTATATCATGATAAATGTTTATTATTCATGCTAGAATTGTATTAACCGGAAACATAATACATGTGTGAATACATAGACAAACAGAGTGTCACTAGTATGCCTCTACTTGACTAGCTCGTTGATCAAAGATGGTTAAGTTTCCTAACCATAGACATGAGTTGTCATTTGATTAACGGGATCACATCATTAGGAGAATGATGTGATTGACTTGACCCATTCCATTAGCTTAGCACTTGATCGTTTAGTTTGTTGCTATTGCTTTCTTCATGACTTATACATGTTCCTATGACTATGAGATTATGCAACTCCCGTTTACTGGAGGAACACTTTGTGTGCCACCAAACGTCACAACATAACTGGGTGATTATAAAGGTGCTCTACAGGTGTCTCTGAAGGTACTTGTTGGGTTGGCGTATTTCGAGATTAGGATTTGTCACTCTGATTGTCGGAGAGGTATCTCTGGGCCCACTCGGTAATGCACATCACTATAAGCCTTGCAAGCATTACAACTAATGAGTTAGTTGCGGGATGATGTATTACGAACGAGTAAAGAGACTTACCGGTAACGAGATTGAAATAGGTATTGAGATACCGCCGATCGAATCTCAGGCAAGTAACATACCGATGACAAAGGGAACAAAGTATGTTGTTATGCGGTCTCACCGATAAAGATCTTCGTAGAATATGTAGAAGCCAATATGGGCATCCATGTCCCGCTATTGATTATTGACCAGAGAGGTGATACGTCTCCGTCGTATCTACTTTTCCAAACACTTTTGCCCTTGTTTTGGACTCTAACTTGTATGATTTGAATGGAACTAACCCGGACTGACACTGTTTTCAGCAGAATTGCCATGGTGTTGTTTTATGTGCTGAAAACAAATATTCTCGGAATGACCTGAAACTCCACAGAACATCTTAGAAAAAAATGAAGGAAATATGCCCTAGAGGCAATAATAAAGTTATTATTTATTTCCTTATATCATGATAAATGTTTATTATTCATGC